CACATAATCCCTAACAGTTAGAGCCTATCACTACCAATATACTAAGTGAATGGACCCTGCCTGGATATAAAACAGAACTCTAATGAGCCTGGTTCCCTGGCAGAGCCAATTAAGAATCCAGGGTCGAATCAGGGGGAAATTCAAAGTGTAACAAAATGATGCTCTAAGAACAATGCTAGGAGCACCTATTTGGACGTAGTGATATACTCTATAAATGAAAACCTACTAACCAGCCTTAGAAAATAGGATCAAACGAAGAATAGCTACCATAACAGCAAAACATGTTGGAACCACCGCAATAATCAATCAAAGATAGCAAACACATATCGCTTCACAGGAACATGTGAACAGGAATGTCATCTGAGCCCGCTGCCATAGAACCACAGAGGGCCAGGGCAGACTGAAGTTCAGAGAGAGAGATGGGATCGTTATAGGGTAGTCTGAGATGGGTACGGAAATCTAAAGGATGAAATTCAAAACAGGCTTACGAAGAAGGAAAGGCTGAGGAAGATGAGAACCAGAGCTATCAGATGAAAGTTGGAGTTTCGGACGTAATAGTGGAAACTTAAGACTTTCAACACTCACTTTTAGCCATATGGATGGTCTTACGGGCCACTGCACTCGTCTTCCGAAATACAAGAAAAGAATCAGCCGTCTGCCGGCGGTGGTGTCTCTTCCAAGCTGCATGCTTACAACAGACAGTCCGGGCACAGTCCACTAGGGAACGCACTTCCGCGTGCTCCGAGAGGTAGAGTGAGGATTAGACTGGAGAGCAGCGTCAAAATGGTGTCATGAAAAAGAAGGAGAGCGCGAGGGAGAGGCATAATTGAGAGGTCGAATAGTGTAGCTCGGAGGGTAAAGAGATTCCCGACTGCCTTGTCAAACTACCATCTAGGGAAAGAGAGGGGGGGGGGGGGTGAAAAGAGAAAAAGGTAACAAGGATGGGGAAATGGTCATTGCCATGGATGTCATCAAGAACTCGCCACGAGAAATCCAAGTAAAGAGATGACGAGCAGGGAGAAAGATCAAGACAGGAAAGGGTGCGAGTTTGAGAGTCCAAAGGAGTGGTCTCACCAGAATTAAGAAGAAACAGGGTAAAAGAGAGGACGAAAGGTTCAAGAAGGCGACCTCAAGTGTTTTTCAGAACATTTGTCAGAACTCAGGGGGGGGGGGAGAAAGGAATAGCCACGGAAGTGACCAGGACGAGCACCAAGCATCGGCTCCTGGAGACAGATACAAAGAGGGGAAAACTATTAAATCAGAAGTTGGAGTTCCTGGAAATTGGCTTTATATCCACGAATATTATATTGAAAAAAAATCGACAAAAGAGAAAGAACAGCAACAGAGAACAATGAAGAAACAAAGGGTACAAAGGAAAACAGCATGTTAAAAGGTGCTCAGGATCAGGATCAGCGAAGTCAAGGTTAGGGGGCATGGGTAAACTGAGTAAGGATGGAGGGAAGGGAGTGGGAGGACAGAGGTGGATGAGCAGGGTCCGGAGATGGAGAAGGAGACAACCGAGGGTCAAGGACAACAGGAGGAGGGGGCAGAAACCGGGATACACACCTCAGCAAGGGCAGCAACCGAGAGGGAAGCAGACATACTCTAAATCTTCGCTTCAGGCATTGTTATCTAGCCAGCACAGAGATAATATACAACTCATCACTGAAATCCTACACATTGGAAAAGAAGCACATAATCTAGATTTGTCTCTCCTCCAATGAAACCTCAATTGCAGGAACAGGGGGCTCGACCACTGAAACTGGAAGGGATGGAGCGAGAGTGTCAGAGGTGGGGGGCGAGGAAGAAAGCGAAGCCTTTCTACCCGCTGGGGAGGAGGAAGGAGATGAGCCAGGCTTTCACTTCTGATTCAAAGAGACAGGCGTTCCAGCAACGACGTATTAGGCAACAGGCTCGAACGTCTCAACGGGAGAAGAAGAATGAGAGTGAACAACAAGATGATCACTGGGAGAGTGATGGACAACAGCCCGTACAGACAGTCGACGTGGAGAGCTAAGAGATGGGGAAGAAGGATGGGAAGGAGGATTGGAGGGAGATGAGAAAGAAGACACAGGAAACATGGAAGATGGGGTAGGTAGGAAGAAGGGAAACCAGACTGAGAACCAGGAGGAAGACCCGTTGGAACAGAACGTAAAGGAACAGGGGAGGAGGCGGTGGTCGTGTCCGAGTCTAAGGCCTGGAAATGGATGTGAGACCGAGGAAGGGGAGAAGGGCGAGGAGAGGAAGAGCGCAACACGCGACCATAAGAGACACAAGTGAAAGGGGGGAGATGGCGAACATGGCGCCTCGCCTCAGGAAAAGACAAACGTTCCTGGTGCTTCATGATGAGGACGGCTGCCTCAAATTTGTAATGTATACACGTGTGGGAGAAGGTAGGGCGGGCCTCACTGCAATTGAGGCAGCGAGCCTGGGGAGAAGTACACTCCAACTTAGAGTGACCTTCGTCCCCACACATGGGGCAAAGAGAGAGAGTACTGGAGTATCTGAGGGCCATGTCCGAACTTTCAGCATTTATTACAAAGCCGAGGAGAGGGGATGTACTCCTGAACGGAGCATCTGGCACCAGCAACAATAACAGAGGGTGGAAGTGTCCGAACATCAAAGGTAATCTTCACAACCCAAAGGGGTAGACAGCGACGGCACGAGGGGTCCACTGAACGTTTCCACCTGGAGAACAGAATTACCGTGGGCTTCAAGGATATGAGTAATATCCTCGTGGCAATCCTTGAGGTTCCTAATGCCGGTTGCAACATGGTGTGGGAGGAGAACAGTGCCAGAACAGTTAAAATTTAACTGAGCATTCTTGGAGACCCGAACAGGGGTCTTCCCAATGCAGGGCAAAGCAGCCAAGCGGGTAGCTGCATCCTGAGAAGCAGTAGCAACGACAGGCGTACCGAGACGGATTGGGTTAAAAGTAACAGAGGCATCTACTGAAGCAACAAGGTGTCTATGGAGGGAGAAATCGTCAGGAGGAGTAGACTCTAAATGATGGAGGTCAAAGTACTTGGTCCATTTAGCAGGACCAAACAAAGCATGGTACGAATTAGTATGGGAAAGGAGCATGCGAGAGAGGCCTTGGCGGGGACGGCAATGAGAACCCCTACAGAGAGGGGAATCATAAGGCGCAGTAGTCACAATGAGAGACGGAGCCGTGCTAGGGGACGAGGCGGTCACCACTGGGGGGCTTGGAGCTCAACCCTACCACAGGGGAGGAAGGGGAGTAGGGAGGGGAGTGGGGCAGTAGTCTGTCGTGGGGGATACAGAGCCCGATCTTCCAGCACAGTCTGACCCAGGAGCCTGGTCGCCCACCCTATGAGCCTGGGGTAAGAGAGGTCGTGTCTTCATCCATTCTGCAGCCCTTTTAATAGTTTGGGGCCTGGAACCAAGAGATACCACCTACCAGGGCAGCCAGGGAGGCCGAATGCAGGCTAGCCAATGCAGGAAAGGTGTATCGTCTCCAGCGATGCTTCGCCTTTTCAACAGGGGAGTCCTACTACATCGTCCATTCTCCCACACTGGTGCTAAAACCCCATTCTCCTATCGCCCCAGCCTGGACACCCAGCCATCCACTCAGGGGGGGGGGTACCTCACGGGCGACCTCTCCAGCTGGCGGTCCGATGGCTCACAAGGCCCCTACGTGATTCCCTTCTGCACATACACCACCCAAAGAGGGGCAGGAGAGGGGGCAAATGCAGCCCTCACCGGTCCCAGCGAGGTGTATGTGAGCCCCTCACCACGACAAGGCAACACCACGGAGGGGTGGTACGAACAAGCCACTGGGTACTCCTCTTTCAAGGATTGCAAAAAGCTATCCATATACATTGCAGTAGCGATACACCGACTCAGACTTCGCTACAAGTACTGATGGCAAGTAATAACCCCCCAATAGTTAAAGAGTGTCATCTCTCTGGAACAGATGTAAAGGCGCCAATATTGCATTACTTACTAAAATATGAAGCAAATGAAGCCTTGCGCATCAAACTCATCATGCAACCAACCAGAGCGGCTGCATTAAATGGCAAATGCCCCTTTGACTACAATGATTAAAAAAACAGGGGAAGAATGGGACTCTCTAGTGAACATTGTCCATCTATATCCCCGACAAATATAATGTTATTAAAACAAATGACTAAAACCAGTGCAAAAAGCACAACAACAACGAAACACTCATAAGCAAAATGGTATTCGTTACTGTGGTCAGCTCCTCTTGTGCTTAAGTGACTTTATGTTTGATGATGAGCTCATCCACTTTACAGGCAGGCTCTAAGTGATTAGTATTATCAATTGTATTTCTAATATTTGTTTAACAGTTATTAACAATAGTATTATAAAAATGTAACTACTGCTTGGTTAAAATTGATGATGTGTTTGGAGTCTGAAGATAGGAATTTATTAGTATCTCTATCCAATGTGGTGTAGCAAAACGCGCTGTTGACAAAGATATGTTTGGTTTTAAACACACCTTTTTATACGATTTTACACATTATTTTATGCTCGGCATAGGTTTTAATTACCTCTGGTGTGGATCATTCAAGATACTAAATTCCAGCTTTCTGGCACTTGTTTTGGCATGTATGCCTATACTAGGTACTCGTCTCAAATCTTAAGGAGTGTTTCTATCAAAACATTCAGTTAAAAGATTGCAACCAAATTAACAAGACGCTCCTTGGGATCATAGGCGAATATCTATGTGGTGGCAGACATCATTCAAGATGTTGACGGTTTAAACCAGAACCAGAATCAAGATGTTGAACAAGAGTAATAGCGAATAAATTCTTCCTTTCGGGAAATACACAATAAGACAATATCATAAGAGAATTAGGAGTATGATAATTTAACGAAAACAACAACCCGGGAAGCAAGTAAATGTATATGACTTAGTGATTGATTTAATTTTCATTCTTTATTAGACAATTCTTCTCTATGTTCTATATTTCTCTATGTGGTATTTAGATTATTCTCTAAATACACATACTCAGATCACACGTCCTCAACGAGGAGAAGAATACGGCAGAGGAATGTCCTTGGGAGATGCGGCTGAGATAGCGGTGGGATCACTGCTCGGCCAGGGCACCAGCAAGCACCTGCCTACCAGTAATTCAACCCGGCTACTGCTGACAACGTGGCTGTTGTTCACGCTGGTGGTGGGCACCGTCTACAGGGGCAACCTCACTGCTTATCTCACCATGCCCAAGTACCCACCCAGACCTGAAACCCTCGATCAACTCGCCACAACCGCTCAAAAGTAATATTATTATTATTATTATTATTATTATTATACATATATATATATTATTATTAAATATGACCGAAAAAGTAAGATTAATAATTCCAACACGAATTTTCTCAATATTTCAAAATTCATTTTTATTTCTAGTCTGACGCGACACTTGAACGCGTTTCGTAATAACTTATTAAATTTTCAAAGACTTTTAGTTTACACACACAACTATAACCTACAAACACTAAACAGAGTTCTTACTATGGTATGATTTAAACAGCTTTCATTTTATTTTATACCCGCATTTTAGGTGAGGTGATATGTTACAACAGTTTTGGATGAGGTGAACAAAAGTTTCAACACAGGACAGAACATGAAACAATGGATATTAATTGGGAAAATTGAAGGTAAGAATGGAAGTAACTGCAGAGGGCCTATTGGCCCATATTTCATGATGCTTCTATATTGGAGCGGAGTCTTGAAGTGGGTAGAATATAGTTGTGCATTAATTGGCTGTTGATTGCTGGTGTTGACTTCTTGATGTGTAGTGCCTCGCAGATGTCAAGCCACCTGCTGTCGCTGTATCTATCGATAATTTCTGTTTTGTTTGCTAAGATTTCTCTGGTGATGGTCTGGTTGTGGGAAGAGATTATATGTTCCTTAATGGAGCCCTGTTGCTTATGCATCGTTAATCGCCTGGAAAGAGATGCTATTGTTGTCTTGCCTATATACTGAGTTCTTTGAGGCTGACAGTCCCCAAGTGGGCATTTGAAAGCATAGACGACGTTGGTCTCTTTTAAAGCGTTCTGCTTTGTGTCTGGGAGAGTTTCTCACGAGTAGGCTGGCCGTTTTTTTGGTTTTATAGTAAATCGTTAGTTGTACCTACTGATGTTTGTCTGTTGGGATAACGTTTCTATTAACAATATCTTTCAGGACCCTTTCCTTCGTTTTTGAGCTGTGGAAAAGAAGTTCCTGTAAAATAGTCTAATAGAAGGTATAGGTGTTGTGTTAGTTGTCTCTTCAGAGGTTGCATGGCGTTTCACCTTCCTTCTTATGATGTCTTCAACGAAACCATTGGAGAAGCCGTTGTTGACTAGGACCTGCCTTACCCTACAGAGTTCTTCATCGACTTGCTTCCATCCTGAGCTGTGGCTGAGAGCACGGTCGACATAAGCGTTAACACCACTCCTCTTGTACCTGTCTGGGCAATCACTGTTGGCATTTAGGCACATTCCTATGTTTGTTTCCTTAGTGTAGACTGCAGTGTGGAAACCTCTGCTCCTTTCCATGACTGTTACATCTAGAAACGGCAGCGTCCCATCCTTCTCCATCTCGTAAGTGAAACGCAACACAGAATTCCTCTCAAATGCCTCCTTCAGCTCCTGCAGATGTCTGACATCAGGTACATGTGTAAAAGTGTCGTCAACATACCTGCAGTATATGGCCGGTTTCAAGTTCATGTCGACTAAGACCTTTTGTTCGATGGTACCCATGTAGAGGTTCGCAAACAGGACACCTAAGGGAGAACCCATGGCAACCCCATCTACTTGCTTATACATGTGCCCATCCGGGCTCAAGAAGGGTGCCTCTTTAGTACAACCTTGGAGTAGTTTCCTAAGAATGTTTTCTGGTATGTCAAGAGGAGTACAGGCCGGATCACGATAAACTCTGTCCTTCTTCTTGATCTTGGATGTTTGCAAACTTCTACATGGGTACCACCGAGAAAAATGAATGGATGTCGAGGGCACTTGGTGTAAATTGCCGGTTGGAAAGATATTGCAAATCAAATGCAATATCTTTCATAGACAACTGGGAACACTTCTATGGAAGAAATGAAATGTATGCTCGCGATGGGGTGCATCTATCGAGAGCTGGGGTTGTTGTTGCGAACTCGTTGGAACCAGTGGTTAGAGGCGTTTGTTTGGGTTTAAACTGTTAGTAGATTGTGGTATGGGAATCGATTTGAAGGAAGGAGGTAATAAAAGTATGTGTTTGTGGGAGAAAAAAATTGACAAAATGATCAGGAAAAGAGAAGAGCCTCAAAATAACAATTCACTTAGAGTATATTACACTAACACTAGAAGTCTAAGAAATAAAAACGATTTAAATGCTCTTGTCTACACAGAAAAAAATAGATATAATTGCACTTACCGAAACGTGGATGAATGTAGAAAATAGAGAACTATTAGCTGAATATCAAATAAATGGATTTAAACTATTTCACACAGATAGATATAGATATATTAGACGAGGAGGGGGAGTAGCCATATATGTTAGGGACAATTTGAAATGAAGTCTCAAAGAGGGAATCAAAACTGAGCCACATACAGAAACTATTTGGATAGAATTAAACGAAAAAGCAAATAACATTATAATAGGAGTTATATATAGGCCACCAAATTTAGACAGAATGGAAGCAAAGCATCTATGGGATGAAATATCTAGAGCATCTAGATCAAACAGTATTTGTGTCATGGGTGACTTTAATTTTAGTGGAATAAACTGGTTGAATAAAACAGGGAATAATGAAGCAGAAGATTTTCTAGAATTAATTGACGATTGCTTTCTTACGCAACACATAAAGGAACCAACGCGGGAAAATAATATTTTAGATTTAGTGTTAACTAACAGAGAAACACAAATTAAGGACATGGAAATAGGGAGTGAGCTAGGGAAGAGTGATCATAAAGAAATCAGATTTAGCACAGAATTGAATAGATCTGTAGGAGAAAATTATGTTAAAGTACCTGATTTTCGAAAAGCTAATTTCAATAACTTAAGAAATTTATTGGGTCAAATAGATTGGAAAGTCTTGGGTATGGGGTGTGGGGCGGTATTGGAGCTAGACGTGAACCCAGCGATAGGTGATGTAAAAGGGGTTTACGATGGGGACTCAAAATATAACCTATTTAAAAATATTCTAAGCGAAGCCCAGGAACGTAGTATACCATATAAATTTAATAGATTGAATACTAATGATCCAAAGTGGATAACAAAGGATCTGAAGAACCTTATAGGAAAAAAGAGAGCGTGGTACAAAAGGATTAAGAATGGGGAAGTCTGTTTAGAACAGGAATTCGTACAACTGGTTAGAAATACTAAAAAAAGAGATAAGGAAAGCAAAAAGAAACTATAAAGTTCGCATAGCAGAGCAAGCAAAAACAAATCCTAAAGGGTTTTTCCAATTATACCGGACAAAGATTAGGGAAAGGATAGGTCCATTAAAAACTGAGACAAGTCAAATAACAGATAGTGATGAAGAGATGAGTAGTATTTTTAATAAATATTTTATATCTGTATTTACTAAAGAGGAACTTAACAATATGCCTTCAGCCGAACAAGTCTATGTGGGTTGGGACGAGGACAGGTTGACTAGTTTAGCAGTTACCAGGGAGGATGTAATTAAACAAATAGTTACACTCGAACCAAACAAATCCCCAGGGCCGGTTGAAATGTTTGCCAGGGTGCTTAAAGAATGCAAACAGGAGCTTTCCGAGCCACTGTCTACCATATTTAATAAATCAATAGTGTTAGGCAGAGTGCCAGAGTTATGGAAAGTTGCTAATGTGATACCAACTTTTAAAAAAGGAGATAGATCACTTGCGTCAAACTATCGACCAATTAGCCTAACGTCTATTGTGAGAAAGTTACTTGAATCGATAATTGCAAATAAAATTCGTCTTCATCTTGAAAAACACAAATTAATAAATGAGTCGCAACATGGATTTACAAATGGCCGTTCATGTTTAACAAATTTGGTATCTTTTTATTCCAGCATAGTTGAGACAGTTGATAGTGGTAAGGATTGTGATGTTATGTACCTTGACTTTAGCAAAGCTTTTGATACAGTGCCACATGAAAGACTGATTAAAAAAATAGAGGCTCATGGTATTGGAGGTGCTATATTAAGTTGGATTAGGGCATGGCTGTTCCAAAGGAAACAGAGTTAGTATATATGGGGTTAAGTCAGTGGGAAAATGTTGTAAGTGGAGTGCCTCAGGGCTCTGTCCTGGGACCTCTGTTGTTTATAATATATATCAATGATTTAGATTCAGGTTTAAGTAGCAACATTTGAAAATTTGCCGATGATACAAAAATCGGTAGGGAAATTAACACGGAAGAAGACTCACTATCACTTCAAGTTGATCTAAATAGGGTTTTGAAATAGTCAAAGGATTGGCAGATGCAGTTTAATGCTGATAAATATAAAGTTTTGAGGCTGGGTAATGATGATAGAGTTGCAAGATACGAGCTAGATGGTGTTGAGATTGCGAAGTCGAATTGCGAAAGGGATCTGGGAGTTATGATAAATAAGAATTAAAAACAAAAGGATCAATGCATGAATGTTCGTAATAAGGGAAATAGGACACTGGGATTTATTAATCGAAGCGTTAGTAATAAGAAACCTGGTGTGGTTCTTCAGCTATATCTTGCTCTGGTTAGGCCCCATTTAGATTATGCAATTCAGTTTTGGTCGTCTTACTATAGAATGGATATAAATTCACTTGAACGCGTCCAGCGTAGGATGACTAAGTTAACTCCCCAAATTAGAAACCTTTCATATAAAGAAAGATTAACAAAGCTTAAATTGCATTCACTGGAAAGGCAAAGATTTAGGGGTGACATGATAGAGGTTTACAAGTGGATGAATGGACATAACAAAGGAGATATTAATAGGGTATTAAAAGGTATTCGTGACAGAACACGAAACAATGGGTATAAATTGGAGAAGTTTAGATTTAGGTAAGACTTGTGGAAATACTGGTTCAGTAACAGGTTTGTTGATTTGTGGAACCAATTACCGCGTAACGTGGTGAAGGTGGGGTCCCTCGATTGTTTAAAGCGCGAGTTGGACAAGTATATGAGTGGGATTGGGTGGTTATAGATAGAAGCTGCCTCGTATGGGCCAATAGGCCTTCTGCAGTTACCTTTGTTCTTATGTTCTTATGTTCTTAAAAGGTCTTAGTCGACATGAATTTGAAACTGGCCATATACTGCAAGTATGTTGATGACATTTTTACACAGGTA